GGGGGAGGGGATAAACTACCCTCGCACTAAAACCTCCTGCACTAGACTTGCATTACTTAACAGCCTCACTTAATTCAACCTGGTGAGTCCCCTCAGAATCAATGGAGACCTGCTTCTATATGTGTTTTTTTATAGCTGTTCCATGTCTGATATATTATATAACTACTCCCCCGTTCTAATTTACGTGACGTAGTTTGATCTGACAAGGAGCTTAAGAAGGAAAGGAAGACTTTTGAAACTTGTAGTCTTAAACATATCAATTTTTTTTCTTCAGGAAGTGGCCATTCTAATCTTCTCTATATTGTTCCAATTTTTTGATCATATGATCTTTAAACATATCATAACATTTGTGTGGCTCTAAAGATTCTCATTAAGGATAAAATGGGAAGGTTACAGTTAAATTATTTCCAAATTATAGAAATGTATTATACTCTTTGAAATGGACTAAAAAAAGAGTGTCACATAAAATGAAATACAGGGAGCACTAGTTAGTCACATAAATAGGCGAACCCTCATTTACTTCAATAGCTAATTCATCAACCATCCCTACAACTAGGAGGCTTGCTATGTAAATATATGTTCAGCAAGCCGATCTCACCTTAATACTTCATAATTTGTCTTCTAAGACAACTAAAAGATAAATTGGAGTTCTCTATAACTAGAGATTCTCTAAATCTCACTTATTTCAATATGAGATAAAAAATCTTCAACCAAACTTGAAAATTCTCTCGACAAGTATGTGGCCAAGTATAAGTATAATGAAAATAAGCCTGTACCACAGCTAATTAGTACTGACTAAATGGATTCACTGCTTCCACTGTGTTTGTTCTTCGCTAAATGGATTATGAGATATTCTGAGTTTTTTTAGACAAGTTTTCTCCATGTGAGTTAGTTCTATCTCATCTCGGTTTAACTTTACAATCATCACAGTAATGTGCTAAAGGACCGATGTATTTGGAGATTTACGCAAGACAACAATCTCAAGCGACATTCTCTTAGTGTACACTCTGTGCGCTATTTGCGCCCTCTGTAAAACAACGAAGGAATAGCACAAAAAATGCTAATAGGGTCATAAATGTCAATCTCCTTGGTCTAAAATGCACAAACCATGACTACGAGCTCCAAAAAGCCACATAATTTTCTAAAAGTAGAAGATTTTCAGAGCACGAAAGTTAATTACATAATTGTAGCAGCAAAAAAAACATATCTATGCATGCACAGACAGAATAAGTACTGTCACTTGAACTTGGAATTAGTCGTATGGTTATATTTGTGTACCTTCACGCCTTGGAACTGGTCCGAACAAAGTTAAGGTGAGCGAGATAATTACTTTCAGCAAAATCATGTAATGTACGTGGTGCTCGTGCCCCATCATGACCCAGTTTACCACATTCTTCCTTCAACAAACTCCTACCTTCATCAGCCTCCTACAAAAGATATACCAAAACCGTAAATATGCAATCGCATAAACAAGTTCCCAGTTGGATGATCTCAATTTCTTCTTCTTCTTCCAGTTTAGCTTTTCTCTGTTCTCCTCTTTATTCACTTCTTTGATTGCACTGCTCTCTTTTCCATTTCCGGCTTTCTTGTTCTTCTTTATTAGACTACTGCTTTGATTTTCTTTTCTTCTTTTTTGATTTTTATTTTTACTGATATGAGTACTGCAATGGATTCTATTCCTACTGTAATCTTTAATAATATTCGAAAGACAACATGCTGAAATTAAAACTGCAGACTGAAATTTAACGACAAATTATCCTCAGTACTGGTACTTCATGCTTAGTTTGATGTTTTATGGAACATACATAACATTCTGAACATGTATTGTAATTGATCTTACTTGCTTAAAGTTTTATTTTCCATGAGAATAATTGATGAAGCACTTGTAAGAAAGGTGTAATTATTAGGTTTATATTATTAGACATCTTACAGTTTTAAGTGCTAAACTGAAGTATAGGCCACTCTTCTGTATTCTCAGTGGATTGCATATTTCACTTCAATGAAATCTCTGTGCATGCTTGAAATGGCAGCTGCGTTGTCACATTTAAGCTCTTCACTTAAAAAAACACTGGACTCTAACCATTTTCTAAGAGAATACATAAGTAGACCAGCTTATCACGATACATACAACTAGGCTTTTTAAACAAAGTAGGTTTTGGACAAATGAGGTGAAGGCAAAAAAAGAATATTCAACGTAGAAGGCTGAGAAAAATAGGGTTTTTTCTTGTTGAGAAAAATGTCTATGGAATACAATTGTGTTTGGACATGAACTTCACTTGGAGAAAAGTTTGTGAAAGTGAAAATTTGTGAGTGGAAACAGTATCTCAAGTCAAATACACCTTGAAACCATTATTTAGCTTTTGGGGTTGAGTTAGGCCTAACATCCGTTTCTTCTACATGGTATCAGAGCTAGACCCATCCCAATTCATTGTTTACCCGATGTTGGGCCCCTATATTATGTTGACCACGCTCCAGGTGCCAGGCCAGGCTGTGTGCAAGGAGGGAGGGGGTTTGGTGTTGTTGGATATCCCACATCGGTGGGGATGAGGTTCTTTGGTCTCCTTACATGGTCTCTGGCAATCCTCACGCTTTTGGGGTTGAGATAGGCCCAAGGTCCATTTCTTTATCACAGAATTCATTTACTGAAATTTAGTAGCAAAAGGCGGTAAGGAAGTGCTTATTAAAAGCACTTTATCGAGTATGCCCACCTATTACTTGTCCCTGTTGCAAGCTCATGTGAGCATCACAGAAAAACTGGAGCGGCTTTAAAGGAATTTTCTTTAGGACGCGGAGGATGGAACTAGAAAGTTTCATCTAGTGAATTGGCAAACAGTCACTTCCCCAAAGAAGTGGGATGGACTTGGAGTAAAAGATCTTAGGGTATTCGACATAGCTTTGTTGGGAAAGTGGCTGTGGAGATTCGGGATAGAGGAGCATGCTCTATGGAGGGAGGTCATAGTAGAAAAGTACGATTCCACGATAGGGGGTTGGAGGACCAAGGCAATCACAGCACCTTCCGAGTGTGGCATGTGCAGGAGCATCATGAAGAATTGGGAAGCCTTCAGTGGCAACATCACTTACAGGGTGGGAGATGGAAGGAGAATCGGCTTTTGGAACCATAGGTGGTGGGAGAGAATACTATGAGGGTCTCCTTCCCCTACGTCTTTAGAGTTTCAAACCAGAAGGAATTGATGGTCCAACAGATTCGTAAGGAGCATGAAGGGGGTAGTATGGGACCTCTCCTTTAGAAGGAACATGCAAGATTTGGAGATTGCGGAGCTCCACGATTTGTTGACACTCTTATATGGGCAAGACAAGCCCCAGCCATCTTGTGATTCTCGGAGATCGGGTTTGTGTGGCGATGGTTTGTTCACCGTAAAGTATTTTACCAGAGTATGCTAGTGAGGGAGGAGGCCACTTTTCCATACTCCTCGATCTGATTCCTAAGGCGCCCACGAAGGAGTGCTTTTTTGCATGGCTAGCGGCGAGGGGAGTGATTTTGACTGCTGAAAATCTGCGAAAGAGAGGAATTACACTTGTTAGTTGGTCCTACATGTATAAAAGCTCAGGGGAAGAAGTTGATCATCTTTTGTTGCATTGCGCTATGTCCTCGGCTTTGTGGAGGGCAATCCTGAATCTTTTTGGTGTTCAGTAGGTGATGCCAAGCACTGTAAAGGAAATGTTATATAGATGGGCCGGTTTCCGTAGAAGAAGAAAGCAAAAGGCGTGGAAGTTCGCCCCATTAGCTCTCATGTGGATAGTTTGGGGGGGGGGAGAGAAATAGGAGAGCTTTTGAGGGTATTGAGTCTCCTTTTTCACGTCTTAAGAATATTCTTTTATCTTTGATCGCTTTTTGGTGCACTCATATAGCCCCTACTTGTATAGAAGATTGGGCGTCTTTTGTAAAGAATCATGTTCTGATGTAAATTCTCTACTTTTTGGTATACTTCCTGTATACGGGAGTTCTATCCCTTTTGATTAATACAAGTTACCTTATCAAAAAAAAAAGTAGCATTACCCATGGTTAAAAACTAGTTTTTGCAAATACTGAATTTCATATTCAAGCTCAAATGGGGTTATTTGAGTTCTCCTGTTAAGGAGGGAGTATTAATTAGAAAAGACAGCCAGATTAAATCAAAATTTGCTAGGGTAGAAATCTAGCAAGGAAATCACCCACAATATCATTTAGTCTTCTGCATACCAATAAGGCAATAACCACCCTATATGTTGATTATAATAATAAATGGGACTTCTGATGTATGAACTAAGAAATCAGAATGATATCAGTTAGGCAAATGAGATTAATGCAGATCACTGATCAAAGGATTAATCCAAATCACCGTAACGTTCATTAGAGACAGAAAATACCTGTAAGAACTTCAACATTTGCTCCTCAATTGTGCCACTCATCGCCAGAGTTTCCACGTGAATAGGGCATATAGCACCCATCCGATGAGCACGACTGATCACCTGTTCCTCCATACTGATAAGTATCACGAAAAGTCAAAGAATATTATGTGTTAGAAAGCTGTCCAGACACATGGCAGGCTAGCTTCTTTATTCTCATAGAACAATAGCTAAATAAAGTATAAGAGCAACGGGTTGAACTGTTTACTCAAAAAAAAACAAAAAAAAAAGAGGTTGGCTGAACTCAGGCAGATTCTATAACATACTCACGAGGTTTTTTTGCCTCCCCCCCCCCCCAAGGGGGTGGGTGTGGGGGGGAGGTTCACTGTATGGAACTTTTTCTCCCCAATAAAGGTGTGGATTTCCGGTTCATTTACTAGCAGATTTTTCTTTAGACAAGAAAAAAATTCTGCAACTGTATCACCATGGGCATCTTCTAAAGGCATTACAAGGAAACAAACATGAAGTCTAGTCATGAGGTCAGAACAGGCTTAATATATCTATTACCTTTTGTCCCATATTGGTTCCATCAAATAGACATGTGTTACAAAGCTCAGATCAAGACCTAAAGCTGCACTTCCATCCATTAATAGAGCCATGCAGTCAACATCATGCTGAAATGTCGCCAGTGCTTTCACCTGAATCATGCGAAAATAACTAAATGGCCGCGGAAATACCATAGTGATCACCCTAAGAAATTTGTCAAAAGACAATCATGAAATCATGAGTGGTTAAACTGCAATACCTTGTTGACGGAAGGCATTGGACTATACAAACTGGCAAAACGGATACCAGCAACAGCTAACTACCAGGAGAAGAAAATGGAATAGTCAGACCATCACATAATAATAAACATATTAATCAGAAAATCTCGCAATGAAGTAAGAGTTACCTGCTGTTCAATTACATGTATGTGCTCCAGAAACTGAGAAAATATGATAACTTTCTCTGGAATTAAATTGCAGAAATCATTTGATGAACCAACAAAATACCCTTGGGATGAAAACCTGCTGAAATTGCTTTTCCCGTGAGATCCACTAACAGCCTCGACTCCGTCCTCGTTGGAGTTAATAATCATCCTATTAGCTTGCTGTATTTCTTTTAACCTTTCAACAAGGTAAGCAACTTTACTGCTCGATGTTGATTGCCAATCAGGATTCCAGTCATCCTTCAGAAGAATAACGATAACATTAGAAATAGTTCGCTATGGGATGATAAAAATTAACTATAAACTAGGCACCAATCAGTATGTCCTTAAAAATTAGACCAACCTGCTTATAAGATGGCTGTAACTCAATCAGATCCTTCGGAACAGGCCACTTTGGATTAGGATTTTCAGGACGCGTCAGTATTTCAGGACTTTGCATCTCGTACAAGTTACCACAGCCAGGAATTGTACACTTCTCACTATTTAAAGAAACACAATCAAGGCATAATAGATGCTTACAAGGTGTAACCACTGGTAGACGGCACCATGCTTTACACCTACATATATTATTTTAGAAAACGTCAAAATCATGATGCATTTAATCTAACGAAATCATGCCACATATGATCTCAGAGGCTGTGACGTACCTCATGCAATTCCCACCATATAAAAGGTGATATCTTATCAGAGCATACTCCTGTGAAGTCGGATCCAGACCATCCTCAACTAAAATATCCATAGTTTCTTGAATATCATCACCTGCCTCTGTCACTCTGATATGTCCTGCTACACAGCACGAGAGTCTTACATTTCTGATGGTAGTACTTCGGAATTTCCACTGTTTAGGGTTCAGCAAACTCTCAACATGAGAAGGATCATTCCAGTCTGCCATTAGTATATTCCTCCGCACGGTTTCTACCAACTCATTGTAACTTCTCGCATGTTCTTCAGTAAAATTTAAGAATATCATTTTCTTGATGCATGGGGGGATATTCTGCAAATCTTTTTTCCTGGCACTGATCATGCACCTGTGAAGTAATTGTAGCAAACGTGACCGGCCCTCTTCCATCTCTGCTTCGAACGGCCTAAGAATACCAGCTTCCCAGGCTTTCTGATTCTGTCCATAAGTTTCATCATGGAGGAACTTAAGCAAGGGTTGCAAATGAGAAAGCTGGCTACTAGGGGTGTTAGGAGTTGGTGTTCCAGTTAACAACCAGCGATTTGAAGCCCGCAGTGAAACAGCCATTTGCAATTTGTTGGTCAAACTTAGACTTGAACCAAGGGTGTGACCTTCATCTAATATAATTCTCAGCCAATGAACTTGCATCAATACACTTCTCTTTTTGGGGCTCCACTCAGCACTTAGACGACTGAATGTAGTTATAACTATATCATAATCCCAAGCAAGATTATGTGCAGAAGGCCTTTTATAATCAGTCCAGACAAAAACTCTCAACTGCCCTTGTCTTACATGCCTCTCAATTTGACCTCTCCAGTGATCAACTAGATTTGAAGGAACAACAACTAAAGTAGCTCGAGACAAATACATCCTAAATGAATCCAGAGGCTTACATAGAGCTACTCTTAAGGCATCTAAATCAAATACCAGGTTCACAAGACCTCTAGGATAGTACCACTTAGTTGTACCCTTTTCAGCCCTCTTGACAAGACCAAAGGCTTGAAATATTTTATGATAGGCATAAGGAACTCCTACTGAGGTCTGTATGATGGGTTGCCCCACCCCAATTGTTTCCATTTCTAACAGCTTCTGCGGTGACAGCTTAGCTAACCAAATTAGAGCCTTCTTTGCTTTTGAATCCATAACTGAACAATTATCCTTCAGCACACTGGTAAAAAATGATATATTTTCTTCCAGCCCCCCAGGTGTTCCTTTGGTATGGAATCCTGGAAGGCAAGTGATATGCTGCTTATGATCCCAAGAGTCTTCTGCAACACTACAACTCTGATATAATGGATCAGTATTCATACTGCAGAACCATGCAGTAGTAGCATCTGCCACACCAGCTTCTGCAAGCCTCCGCCATTTCTGACAAGCATCGCATTGGATCCAGGTTTCATTGATCACACAGTTCTCAGCAGACGGCTCACAAAACCTCTTACTACCACGAGAATTTTTTTTTGAATAACCAGGTTTCTCATATGTCAAGCTTCTTTGTCGGTTGGAAGCACGCTTCCTTTTTTTCGATTCTTTGCTGGAATTCCTCTCAGGAAAGAGAGACGTCCCTTCATTTTCATATGCATGCATAAGATTTCTTTTTGTCTGGCTAAAGTTACTGGTGCACCTCACAGCATACCTAGTTGGAGTGGAGCGCATGACTGTACATGAACTAATTTCTGCAGCTGCTATGCGATCAGCTGAATTAACAACCGTGGATCCAATTGATGCGGGGAAGTCTAAGCTTTTTGTTGGGGTTAGTTTATCCAAAGATAATTGTCCCCTACGGCCATTGAGTCCAGTAGCTCTACTTGCTGATAAAAACCCTGAACTGATTGTATTTTCACTACTAAGCTCATAATAACCACACCTCTGGTCAGTATTATGCATACACCAGATAATTTGTGCACCATCTGGTGGCTCTGGCAGTGTTCCCTGAGTCTTCAGAATGAGAGAAAGAGCAGTAATAGTTTTACCGAGGCCAGGCTCATCACAGAACATTCCCCCATGGAAATCCTTGATCTTAGGAGCCTGACCTGTGGCTATTTGACCAGAAACAGCATTTATATAAAAAGCAAACCCATCTTCAGTGACAAAATCCATGTACAGTGGGTGCAGTAATAATTCAACATTGTGCTCACGCTGTAACATCCAGTCAACTGCAGCCTGCTGATGAGCAAACAATTTAAGTTTCATACATGGCATGATTGATGCAGCAAGAAATCTTAAATGCCGACATGTTGCAGAGACCCTTAGCAGATCAACAGGACAAAGTGAAGAAAGAATATTGATCAAAATATCATCTGTTACCACCCAAATACCCGATCTACTACTATCAAGGGGATTCACTCTTAAAGAATCGGGATTTCCCCTCTTTGCTACACTTGGTAAGCTCTTAAAAATTTCATGGAGATCAAAGAGCTTTTTCTTGGAAGGGTCAGGTGCACTGCAGCGCTGTTTGCATCCAATAACATGACAGTCAGACAGATTCCAAATACCTAAATCCTTTTCAACACCAAGCTTAGCAGACTGAAGCATAGAACTCCTAGCTTCCCAGTCACAACTGAAAACAAATATTTGAATATTCATTAGCATAGTCAGCACAGTTACAATAAATATTTAAGACGTAAATTAGCATTAGCTGCATAGACAATTAAATGCAAATCAATTTTCAAAAACTCCAAACTCACCAAGAAATTCTACATACCACTGGTGAAAGCTTATCAGTTCACTCGGCGTAATGGTGTTAAAATAATTAATCATTTACTTTAACTGCAAATTCGGACAGCCTAATACTTAATAGAAGAGAATATCTTAGTCCATCCCTGTAATTACACTTTTTAAAATTATTCTTTAATAAGTTATTGTCTGCAATATATTTTTGGAAAAGCAAGCAACCAAAGCTATAAAGATTTTTATTCTCTGACTTGGGAAATGTGCCTACTTTTTCCTTCACCTTCTGACTCCTCTTCCGGTGAAATTTCACTCCTTTTCCGGTGAAATTTCACTCCTTTCCCGGTGAAATTTCTCCTTGGAATAGCATGGGGGAAAAGCTCTTTTTATTTCAGGTGACAAATCCTACGAGCTTATCGACATCGGTGAAGATAATGAAAGGTGGTTTTTATGGATCGAAAGGGGCAGCATATTTACAAGTAAAACAAAGATCGATGAGGACAACATCAGATGGGTATGTGAGCAGATGTACCAAGCTTCACAGGGTGCTGGGAATCTTTACAGAAGGTGGGGGGGAAGATACAAGCTTATTTATACAGGGTGTATCAAAACTATAATGTTTATGGCAGATACATCAGAATTGAAACTTGGATTGGAGACAAGAAATCAGCAAGAATAATACTGGAAAATGATTACAACAGGGGTGGGGAGATATAGCTGGGAGAATATTACAATTTTTGGGGAAGGCCTCTAACTATGAGTTAAAAAAGCTCGCAGATGTGCAAAAGAGGTCCTTTCTAGTTGCTAAAATTCCTCAATGGCCTACGCAAGTCGCCAAGCAAGAAGGTGTTGCTGCTGCCGCCATAGGTGTTGCTGCCTGCTGCTGAAGGTGTTGCTGCCGCTGATGAGAGCTCCCAATTTCTCGCCAAGTGTCTATGAGAGCTCCCAATTTCTCGCCAAGTGTCATGATTGGATGCTTCAATGATCCTTTTAACCAAAGCCCCAAAGTTGAAGTCATCCAAAAATGGTTTATCACAAGGTGGAAAGTAACTGCGGGCCTCGGAGTCACTCTGATGGCTCACAATCAGTTCTTTTCGAGTTGTCATCGAGACAGGAAGCAGCAAGGGTAAAAGCAGGGGATTGGTTCTGGAATGGTAGACACTGATCTCTTGAGTGGTGGTCGCCGGAATCTGGGTCATCTCCGGCCAACGGTGAAGTGGGGCAAAAGTGGATAAAAGCCTTTGGAATTCCTCTGCATGGCTGGACATCAACTATTTTCCGATACATAGGAGCTAAGTATGGTGGATTCATAGGCACCGATGAGGACACGAAAAACAGGGCGCACATGTTCTGGGCCAGAATCGGTGTAAAAGACAGAGATGAACTACCTAGGGGTCATTGATTTAAAAATAGGCAATATGAGATACAAAATTTCAGTTTTGGAGGACGTACTCACAAAAATTGCAAGTTCCGGCGAGGCTTCGGTTGTCGTCGGAGTAGAGAAGGCGGCAGCTTCTGATAAACCTTTCTCGATCCAAGTGAAGGACCTATCGAACCACCCAGCATTCTTTAACCGCATTAGACCTGGCAGCTTTAATTCAAAAATGGCTGAGGTGGCAACCACAATTTCAGGGAATACGGTCAAGATGCCAGTTGTTAGGCATACTAAAGCAAATGGTGGGGTCAAAGAGAGGGCTCAAAATTTGGGCCATTTAGTGGATCGTGAATATTATCAAAAGGGCCAAAAATGTAAGCATGCACAGAGGAGAAAATTAACAAAACAGATCTGGAGAGCAGCTGGGCCTAAAATTGACCCATGTGTTTTGAAGCCCAATCACTACATCTCTGTTAATTATTTTGATCCACTAATGGTGGAACTAGAAGCTTCTTTCTCAGAAGGGCCCAGTGCCAAACCTTCTTCATTGACTCGTTGTGATTGCCCCTCAGAGGCAGACGACAAAGGAGAAAAGATACTGCACAAAATATGCAGGAGACCACCACAATCAATTGAAGCTTTAAGTAGTTCGGATGTGGAGCTCTCTTCCTGCGATACTCTTGCTCTCCCATGGTATGAACAGGGCTCTCCAAGCATGCAAGTAATTAATACCCCGAATATTTATGAACATACAAGATGGACAAAAGATGTGTAGTTAAAGGCTTGCAAGGCTTTTGGAGTTAACGTAGAAGGGTTTGGACATGAGATTATGGATATCATCCTCCGAATGGATCAAAAACGACAGATGCAGTTGCAGAAGCAAAAGTCACCTGGCAGGGACAAAAAAAGGGGTAAGAAGAAGCTGGAGAGACTGAAATGGGGCCTAAATTACGATGGAAAAAGGAAAGGGGATAGAGACAGGTTTTACAAAGCTTTTTCTGGATGAAAGTTAAAATATTAAGCTGGAACGTGCGGGGATTGAATGATGCTGATAAAAGGACTACAACTACATCACCGATTCATAAGTGGAAGCCAGATATTGCTTGTTTGCAAGAAACAAAAATCCAAAAGTTCCCAGTATCCTGGATTAGACAAATATGGGGTAATCATTGGGTAGAGTAGGCAGAGTTGAAATCTATAGGGAATAGTGGAGCAATTATCATCTTATGGGACAAAAGACATTGAGTAAACAGGGGTACTTATCAAGGTTATCTATCATGCATGTTAGAAAGTACACATGAAGAATTCAGATGGTGTTTTATAGGGGTGTATGGGCCACACACAAATCCTGAAAGAGAGGAACTATGGCTAGAACTTGAGCAATCAGGTCTATCTGGGATGACCAATGGGTAATAGGGGTGACTTCAATGTTTGTAGATATGAAAGTGAAAGGTACAACTGTGTTAGAAGGTCCAGGGCCATGGTATTTTTCTCAGAAACATTCAAGACCTGGGTTTTATAGACTTGCCTCTACAGGGTGCTTATTATACCTGGTTCAGAGGTGAAGACTCATTCCAAGCATCGAGAATAGACAGGTTCTTAATTTCTTCTGAATGGTGTGATAGTTTCAAAGCTATCAAATAGCTAGCCCTCCCAAGAGTGATCACAGGTCCCTTCTTCTTGAGTGTGGTGACTGGGAAGCCACCCCTTCTTATTTCAAGAAAATATGTGGCTACAGGTGGAGGGTTTCACTAATAAGATTAAAAACTGGTGGCAGAGCTATTTGATATGAGGCAGTCCAGATTTTATACTTGTGCAGAAACTGAGAAGGCTCAAGGCAGACATCACTAATTGGAACAGAGAGGAGTTTGGCAAACTGGAAACACAAAAGAATAAATTACTGGAGGAGTTAGCAATGCTAGAGAAAGCAACAGAGAACAGAGCCCAGACACAAGTTGAAAAGGAGAAACTAATACAGCTAAGAGTGGAGTTACAGCAAATAGCAAAGGTTGAGGAGGTCTCATGGAGACAAAAACCAAGATGTCTACGGCTAAAAGAAGGTGACAGGAACACTAAATTCTTTTAGAAAATGGCTAACTCCCACAGAAGGAACAATTGCATTGACAAATTAAAGATAGGGGAGGAAATCACCGAAGACAAAAAGTCCATCAAAACTGAAATCCTTAACTTCTATCAAGGGCTCTATTCAGGAAATGAGCAATGGAGACCTAGTGTCAACTTTGAAAACCTAGCTAGTATCTCGACGAAGGAAGAGGTGTGGTTGGAAAGAGCTTTTGAAGAGGAAGAGGTGATGGCAGCCATCAATTCTTGTGCACCAGTTAAAGCCCCGGGGCCTGATGGCTAGACAATGGCATTTAATCAAAAGAGTTGGGACTTTATCAAGGCCGACATCATGGCAGCAGTCAATCATTTCCACCATAAATGTTATATGGTCAAATCCAGCAATGCCTCCTTTATTGCACTTGTTCCCAAGAAAAAAGGTGCAATAGAGCTCAAGGACTTTAGACCAATAAGCCTTATCGGAAGTGTGTATAAGATAGTGGCTAAACTTTTAGCAGAAAGGACAAAAACAAGAATGGGGTCTCAAGGGAACAGAATGCATTCCTAAAAGATAGACAGATAGCTAATGCAGCACTCATTGCAAATGAACTACTGGATGAGAGACTAAAAAGTGGAGTTCCTGGAATTTCATGGAAGCTAGACATAGAGAAGGCATTTGATCAAGTCAGTTGGCCCTATCTATTGTTAACACTAAGAGGAATGGGGTTTGGTGAAAGATTGATAAGGTGGATCAAGTTCAGCCTAACCGATGTCTAGCTTATCTGTTCTAAAGAAAGACCTGCCTATACTGGAGAGGGGTTGTGGCTAAACTTTTAGCAGAAAGGACAAAAACAAGGATGGGGAAGCTTATTTCAGGGAACAGAATACATTCCTAAAAGATAGACAGATAGCTGATGCAGCACTCATTGCAAATGGACTACTGTATGAGAGACTAAAAAGTGGAGTTCCTGGAATTTTATGCAAGCTACACATAGAGAAGGCATTTGATCAAGTTAGTTGGCCCTATCTACTGTTAACACTAAGAGGAATGGGGTTTGGTGAAAGATAGATAAGGTGGATCAAGTTCAGCCTAACCAGTGTCAAGTATTCAATCCTTATTAATAGATCTCCGGTTGGTTTTTCTCCCCTCAGAAAGGGATTAGGCCGGGAGACCCTCTCTCACCTTTTCTCTTCATCATAGCAATGGAAGGCTTGAGCAAAATGCTTGATAAAGCAAGACAATTAGAATGGATTGAAGGGTTCAGGATAAAAAAACAACTCAGGAAATTCAATCTCAGTCTCACATCTACTATATGCAGATGACACAGTAATCTTATGTGGGGCTGAAAAACTGCAGCTGCAGTACCTTAATCTAACCCTACTTATTTTTTAATCTATTTCAGGTCTGCACATAAACATGCTGAAAAGCATGATATACCCTGTCAATGTGGTACCTGACTTGGAGGAAATGGCAGGCATAATGAGTTGTGGCATTAGCTCATTTCCTACAACCTATCTTGGACTACCTTGGGAGCCAAACATAAGTCAGTGGAAGTGTGGAATGGTGTGATTGAGAAAGTGGAGAAAAGATTAGCAACTTGGCAGATGCAATATCTCTCAATGGGTGGAAGAGTGGCTCTGATCAATAGTGTCTTGGACAGCATACCAACTTACATCATGTCCCTCTTCCCTATGCAAGTAAAGTTCAAAAGCAACTGGACAAATTGAGGAGATCCTTTTTATGGGAAGGTAATAGTGAAGGTCACAAATTCCATTTGGTGAAGTGGGCAACTGTAACTCAACCAAAGTCACAAGGTGGTCTGGGCATTAGAAATCTTTCAAAGCACAACAAGAGTTTGCCAATGAAGTGGCTTTGGAGATATAGGCCAAAAAGCACTAGCATATGGAAGGAAATAGTGAAAGCCAAATATGGTCAACGGGATAATTGGAGCACCACAACCACGAGAGCTCCTCATGGGGTTGGGCCCTAGAAACACATTAACAGCCTGAAGGATGTCTTCCAACAAGAAGTGTCCTTCAAAGTTGGAAATGGAGCACATGTGAAATTTTGGAAGGACAAGTGGCTAGGGAACTTCACGCTACAAGAAACTTATCCATCTTTATTCCAACTAGCTAGTGATCCTAACTCAACAATAGCACAGAATAGATCCAACAACACTTGAGAGGTCCCTTTCAGGAGAAACATGCAAGACTGGGAGATAAAAGGAGTGCTTGATCTACTTGGAAGGTTAGCAAACTTTACAATGAGTATCCAACACGCAGATAAGCTAACATGGGGCACTTCTAAGGAAGGTGCATACACAATAAAGGCAGGCTACAACAAATTTTGTGCATCGAATGATGTTATTGACATGTGGCCTTGGAAGCTAATATGGGAAACCAAACTGCCTACAAAGGTCAGCTGTTTTGCATGGACGACTCTTAAAGGTGCTATTTTGACCCAAGACAATCTTTGTAGGAGGAGCTTCCAGATTGTGAATACATGCCACATGTGCCAACCAAATTCATAATCAATCAACCATCTATTTTTGCATTGCACAGTGGCTACTGATCTATGGCACAGGTTCTTCTCAATTTTTGGTATCAGCTGGACACTACCTCAGAGTTTTAACAAAAGCAGTTGAAAGTTGGAGCTTTTGGAAAGCCAGCAAGGCCATCAAAAGTATCTGGAAAATGGTCCAGGGTGCATATTTTGGTGTCTTTGGACAGAAAGGAATCGAAGATGTTTTGATGGCATTTCAACTCCTAATCAGTTCCTGAAAGCTAGATGTCTGGTGTATCTTTTTAATTGGAGTAATATCTCCCGTGTAAATAATGTTATTCCCTTTCTAGACTTAATTGGCTCAATGAGTCTGGCTTGATGGCCTAATTTTTTGGTTAGCTCCCTATGATTAGAATAGAACATGATGTACTGGAGCTAACATTTCTTCTTTTGTACTATTTGCATCTTCTTGATGCCAGAAATACAACACCTTACTTCAAGTCACAATTGTTCCAACTATAACAAAACAAAATTAAAACGGAAAATTTTTTCCTCTTGATTTTGTCAGATTGCCTTCATCACCCAAAAAGGAAGGGAAGAAAAAGAAGAAAAGTCATTAGCACCTATTCTACACTACTAATGTACTGCTGATATTCTGAATTTCTAAAAAGAATGACTGTCTGTTGTGTCAACGGTATATTTAAACGTTAATCATCCATTATTGTTCCCTAATTACCCATATGAGCAATCAGTAGCTTGACTAGCGACAGAGCTGAATAGGTCCTTCCACTATACTTAAAGTTTTCTAACAATTAACAGACCAGTAACAGTATAAACATGAGAAAATGATAACCTCAATCATACTTTCTTTTTGGATGATCCTGGCTTGGCATAAAAATTAATAGTTCACTAAGTTTATAAAATAATATTATTTTTTTAAACATATAGTTCCCACTTAATAAATAAATTAATTGTATCCTTGCACGTCAAAGTTATATAGTACACAATTAGAATGCCTTCATAGAATATGAACCCAATCTTGCTTACTCATAAAATTGACAGGAATTCATCTATAAAAATTGACGTCTCTTGGATCTCCATCTCTAGTTTTTCTTTGGGGTATCCAAAAGGGTGTAGCGCTCTCTTAGAAAATTGTACAATATGGTTAAACTTTCTGACACCCATGTTGCAATTGCTTTTATGTGCAAGTTGGATTTTCCATGTTGTGCTCACAAAGTTTTACACATTTCATCCGCTAGTCAAAGGCGCATTTAAGGTGCGATGAATCTCAAGAGAAGCTCAGGGAGGGCGCTTCGCCTTGCTTAAGTTGTGCTTCAATGTAAGGCTAGGCACTAAGGCAAGCACCTCATTGCCCATGAGTTCCATTGAATTAAGCGACACTAAACAACAAATATAATCGGCAAATAAGTGTATTAGTTGTTAAGGAAAACACTATGAATAAATTTGTTACTTTTTTCTTGAATTACATTTTTATTTATTTTTTGATAAGTACAAATATATCTTTTTAGGGTGTAGGGTCTAGTGGGATGTAGCAAGTACCACGTAGATTTAGTTAGGTGCGTGCAAGCTACCAACACAACTAATTCTTGGATATTTGAACTTTACAACACCTAGAGATTCCTTCTTTCCATCAAAACATATTCTATTTCTTTCCAGCTAAATTGCACATATGAACTTTATCTTTTTGTTTTATGACAGTGCTACACATACCAGCTTGCACGCACTTCGACTAATATACCGAGCAGCCTTAATGTTGGGTAAGCATAGAGAACGCTCAAGTTATTAGTGATAATAATAATAATAATAATAATAATAATAACAATAATAATAATAAATGTAAAATTAATTACATAATAGATTTTCATGGCCCCACGATAATTATATAGACGTTTAATTGCATTGTCATTGATTTGAACGTTTCTTCAAAATCCTAATCAGAATCATTTTTTTCCATTTATATTCTTTACAGTTTTGATGATTTAGTATTTAATATGTAGAAAAATATGCAAAATGGTTGATGGTGTCAAATAAGACTGTTATGCGGCTGGGTTATGCAACTGCAAACTTAAAAACACGCTATGTAGGTGCAATGTAGGTGCAATGTAGGGTGTTGGGCTGTACATTTGTGCAAATCTCTAGGTGCAATGTTGGGTGTTGCGCTGTACATTTGTGCAAATCTCTCAAATAACGGCAGGATATGCGCACCTGACATGGCGGAAAAGTGCGGCAACAGCAGGACCAGATTTAGGGAACTGCCAACCGGACCACAAAGCTATAGGCAAGTATACGTCCACTAAAACAACAACCCTAACTTCACCATCATCATTATCATCACCGCCGCCGCGATCCACAACCTCAACAACTCTAGCAACAATTCTCAAGCATTTTTGCATTACAAGCTTGTGTAACTGGTGCACCACGCTTAAACTACCATGCACCATTCCAATTCTTCTCCACTTCTTCATCGTCGGAACGGTGCCGTTTTGCTCCCGAGAAACGATTGGGGACAATACAACGTCGTTTTCAGACACGAAGTGGGCATTAGAACCGTCGCCGGCTATATGGCACTTGGAATTTAAAGGGGGAGTGCGGCGGAGCTCGGAGGAGTGCGATTGTGGCGAAATTTTAACGCCAGTACGGAAGAAACCGCAGAGCTTGTGGTCAGGAATTGAATTTTCGACCTCCATTGTTGAAAGTGGAAGCTTATGAACTAAGAACTCATGTTGAAGTTAGGGTTTTGGAGATGTGAGCAAGAAGGGGATCAATGGAGGATTAGGAAATAAACGAGGGAAATAGGAGCAACCGTTGTCTCACGTGCGCCCCGGGTTTCTTTTTGTAAATAACTAGTATGGAGAATAATAAATACAATTTTTTTTATAATAAGAAAATATATGTTGGGAAAGACGGTAGATACAAAAGAATATGGAAATACTATTATTTTTTGTTATAATGGATATTGGTATGATAAAGTAATAAGGAAACACAATAAAGACACATACAGCTATTTCCTAAAGTCCAATAATATTCTTTATAGCCTCAAAATTAACAATTGTATTCTTCCATGTGTAGATTGTCCCTCGTAAATATATTTTCTCAAAACCTTCACCAATTAAAACTTATTGTTATGTTGAAAAACCCAAATAGTAGCTCTAGACCATTGAGCAACATTTACAATAGAGTTGTCGTTGCGAGAATCATTGATAATCAAAACCTCCCTGCAAATGACCAAATTAAAATGAAAAATATAATCACAAACAAAATATAAGAAAAAAAATTATAAACTTATTGTATCGTTCCTATCAAAATAGAAATTATGGCTCAATTTGTCACATAACGCATGCATGTAAGGATAGCAGATGGCTTGCCAAAAAAATTAGTGATCCGCCTTGATATGAATCTAATTTTAGACATCTCGATACTTTAGTGGTCCGCTTGTACACTATGCAAGTTCATGGAATGTAAGAGTGAATATAAAAACATTAATTGTTCCTAAACTGTTGAAAATAATATGGATGTAATATATAAACAACATTATAGTAGCTATTGCAGCACCAATCACCAGAGAAGCCAAAGTAACTTTACCTCCATAGTTCTCTAATTATATTATAAAAAAACAGCGTGAGAAATTACAGCGAAGAACAATTGACAGAATATTAAATAAGATACTTTAAATGGAAGGTCCATGCTAACTTTAGTGTCTTTTATTGTAATTGGATACATACTCCACCATATCAAACCAATCATCAGGAACTACATATTAGCGTAAGTGTCAGTACAAAAATATTAATTTTTTAAAGATGGTTACTGGATGCAATAGAACCACGAGCTTCAATTGAGGACAACATGAACTAATTTTAGCTCAAGACCGACAAAATAATTGAATTTGCTTGCATTTAGGACTGTTAATCCACAATAATAGACAACCAAGCAAAAAATGTGAAATATGCTCTGCAAGTGTAAAGTAACTAGTCAGCTAATGCAATGTAATGGCGTTTTCATTACACGCCTTAAGTTCAATAGAATCAAAGACTACTAAGGTTTAGAGCCAAAGGAATGAAGCACATTAGTTTGACTTTGTTGACCAGTAAAACCTCTGATTCAGTGGACATCAGACAATACACCAATGAGAATGTAGCAGACCATCAATAAGAAGACAAAATCGTATTTTAGAGGTAATAGCTTAATAGTCTACATTATATTTTTGTAACACATATAAGAGATAGCAATAAGAAGCAAAAATAGGCACCCTGCATTAACTTTCTATTAATCAAACAAACATAAGCATGAGAGCCATACCTGACCCGACTACTGTGCATCTAACCAAGTACTTATGCAAGGAGGAAAGACTTCTCCGCCCAACAGTCCACAATACAGCAAGCTCTCCTTTTTTAATCCCAAAGTTTATATTTTTCAATGTTTTTTCAGTACTATTTTCATCATCCCAGAAAAATGGTCAATCTTTCACATGCATAGCAATTATACTCCCACAGCTTTCCAGTCTTTCCACAACTTTATTGTAACGACCCGGTCGGTCGTTTTGAGAAATTAGGCTCTGGTCGATGGCGTAAGGTCTGGAAAAACTTCATAATATGAGTATCGACTTGCGTGCATGGTTGAATTCAGTTAACGGATGATGCAGAGTCAGATTTGGAAGGAGAAATCTAGTTTGGAAGTTTAAGCGGCAAGAATTTGGCTGGAACTTGACTTTGGAGTAAACGGCTCCGGAATGGGTTTGGATGATCTTAACAGCTTCGTATGGTGATTTTGGACGTAGGCGCGCGTCCCGATTTGGTTTTGGAGGTCAGTAGCTTAAATAGGCTCGAAATGCCGAAAGTCAAATTTTTGAAGTTTCCGGTTCGATAGTGAGATTTTGATATCGGGGTCGGAATAGAATTCCGGAAGTTGGAGTAAGTCCGTTGTATTATTTGGGACGTGTGTGCGAAATTTCAGGTCATTCGGATGAGGTTTTATTGACTTTTTGATCAAAAGCAAAATTTAGAAGTTTTGAAATCCTTAGGCTTGAATCCGAGCGTGATTTGGTGCTCTGGCGTTGTTTGGAGTGTTCCGAGGGTTGGTACAAGTTTGAATAGTATTATGTGGCTTGTTGGCATGTTTGGTTGAGGTCCCGGGGGCCTCGGGTGAGTTTCGGGTGCTTAACGAAAGTTGAATTGGACTTAGGAAAAATCTGAAGTTGGTTGAACCTGTCATAATAGCACCTGCGTGTATGGGGCCGCAGGTGCGGCACCGCAGAAGCGATACGAGGATCGCAGGTGCGGGCTAAGGCTTGAGTGGAGTTGGTCTCAGATGCGGCCCAAGGACCGCAAAAGCGGACCGCATCTGCGAGTTTGGGAGCGCAGGTGCGGATGTGTGGGTTTTAATGAAAAGTCGCAGGTGCGGTTTATTTTACGCAGAACCAGGACCGCAGGTGCGGTCCCATGGTCGCAGAAGCAGATTCGCTGGTCAAAAAAAGGGAAGAAATGAGGGTTTTAACTCAACACTTGGAAAAATGATTTGGAGCTCGGTTGAGGGCGATTTCTCGAGGGTTTTTGAAGGAGAAACACTGGGTATCGTTTTCTATCTTGATTTTGATCCTAGAACTATAATCTATTGTTGTTTTCCTCTTCTAGTTAAGGAAATTGGGGGTAAAAGTTTGGAAAACGAGAGAAGGTTTCCCCAATTGAAAATTCGAGTTTTGAGTGGGATTTTGACGTCGGATTTTGATGATTTTTGTTCGAGTGTTCGTGAGTGATTAGGAGTTTTGAATTTGTAAATTTTATCCAATTTCGAGACGTGGGCCCGGGGGACTTTTTGGGTAATTTTTCTTAATTTCATGTGTTAGCTTCGAATTAATTAGTTAAATTAGTTACTTGAAGTTATATTTACATTATGCAATTAATTTGAATAGATTTGGGTCATTTGGAGTCGGGTACTCGTGGCAAGAACGTGATTTCGAGTTGATTGAGTTGGTTCGAGGTAAGTATTTTGCCTAACCTCGTGTGGGGGACTTCTCCTTAGGATTTGAGTCTTCTATGTTGATTGTAGTTCGTATACGCGAGGTGACGAGTGCGTGGTCGGACTTATTTGTGGAACAATCGACCTTTTAGGGTTCTTAGGTCTTTATATTCACCGTGTATGAATGTGTTCTTGACATGACTGAGTTTCCTATTTACTAGTTTCACCTCTACATGCTTAATTGGAGTTAATTGCTCCATGATTCATTCTTATTGCCTAATTGACTCATATTTGATTTAATTGAAGAATTTCGCCTCTCCTATTGCCATGCTACCTTTTCATAGCTGTTTGTCTTAATTGAGAATTTTTATTTTCCGTCTTAAAATTTGTTGAGTCTTAAGTGGAGCTAAGATCACATTTCCTTAAGTTGAATCGTCGAATATCCTTGAAATTGTCCAACCTTAAAAAGAGTTTAGATAACCTATATCTGAGTTGACTTGCCTATATTTGGGACCACTCGACTCGTGTTGATTTCCTTGTTATTGACTTGTATATTGAGGGATCGTTGCTACTTGTTAGTTTTCCCGCTGTTGCACTGTTTCCTTTATGTCAGCATTCTTTTCTGTGGTTATTCTTCATCCCATCATATCATCTCGGCCACTATGGGCAAAATCATCAACGTATACCAGCTGATTAGGTGGTGATGCGTATATAGCGATGTAACCTTTTTCCATATCCCATATACATATAGATATACATATATACACATACTCCATCTGGTCATGGGTCAACGTACATGTATAAATGAATGCAATGCTTGAGAAGTACGTCTATAAAATCTTTCGGAACGTCATAAGACCATTATGCCTCTGATTAATATCATGAAATAAACCTTATCAACTTGCGTATTTTTTGAGACCCATGAACAGATGATAAAATAATAGGACACATGGGGAATCAAGAACACAAGCATTTCTATGAATAGATTCATTTTATATAAGTTGTATATTTGCTCGTTTCGGTTGTATCGTATGGATCATGCCAAAAAGAAAGAAGGGATAGACTTAACATACTTGAGTCGATTCTCTTGACAATCCCTCTAACATACGTTGATTGCGATAACACGTAATGGCGGATCGAAGTAGGGAAAAATCTGTATGATATTCTTGAGAAAAATTATATCGGGCTCACTTAGAATTTCCAATCCCGTTTCTATTGCGTAGTATAACAGATAACTTCGTATGAAGGCCATAAGGCCATCATTATATTTGTAAACTCAAAACATAGTCCGGCAAGGCCATACAAATATCCGTATACACGACATCTGTCTACAAGCCTCTAAGAGTACATAAGTATAAGAAAGATCGGGACTGAGCTCCACCATATCAATCAATACATGTCCTAATTATACTTACCAAATAAGAAACTCCGGAGCAAATGTAGAGCACCAACATCTTCCACTGGGCTGATAGCTTACTTTGAGGACTCTTGACCTATCTATCGGGACCTGCGGGCATGAAACGCAGCATTCCCATCAAAGGACGTTAGGACGAATAATGTACCGAGTATGTAAGGCACATAAATAAGTATATAAAAGACATAGGAGAAACATAGAGTAAATGACTCAACCTGTAAGTCTAGATAACTCTGTAAATCATGAAACACTAATAGTGTCATATGCTTATGAATGTCATGTCATGCATAGGTACATGTGTTCATAACATCATCAAGCCTCTGAGGGCATCCTATCATATCATCTCGGCCACTATGGGCAAAATCATCAACGTATACCAGCTGATCAGGTGGTGGTGCGTATATAACGCTGTAACCTTTTTCCATATCCCATATACTTATAGATATACATATATACACATA